AATCAATGTTAACTAAAAGTTTTAAAATTCCTTGCGGAATAAATATCAATTAAAAGATGTCAAATTCAGTGTCAACTGTATGTTTGATAGTATTAAGATAATTGAACAAATGTTATGCAATAGTTTTGGTTTTTTTTTTTTGTTTTGCTATTATTCATCATAACGGATGATGAATGAGATCGAAGGTTGTCATCATTCATTTCAAATGTCAATGTTTCATTTGATATTTAAAAAAAATGAAATTTATTTTGAAAAAAAGAAGGGAAAATTTAACCTTAGCTGAGAAAGCAGTGAATAAAACAAAATTGCTAACAATTTAAGATGATTATAACATTTATTCATCAAAAAAAATTAATTAGAAATTAAATTTGAATAAAATAGAAACGAATGATAATTTTTAAATTTCTTTTCAATATACAAATTAACAATGCATACTATCGTTATCATAATATCATTACAGGAGAAATGAAAAAGGAAAAAGAAACAAAAAATATTTGAAAAAAAAATGGAATAATCGATTTTAGAGAAAGAGAGGAAATGTTATCGATGATGTCATAAATTGTTGTAATATATTTAAAGATTTGGTAAAAATACCGAAGTTAAAATAGTATGCAAATAGTATGGGAAAGAGCGGGAAAACAAGTTGACATGGTGGGAAAGAAAAATTGATGAATTAATCAATTCCTTTTTTTTTTTTTTCGAATAAAAAAAATTTGTTTGATGAGAAAAAGATAAATGTATAAAATTTATTGAATATTGCTTGTCCATTTGTTTCGTTTTTTTTTTTTTTTTTAAATTAATGTTAATATCAGATTTGATAGAAAATGATCATTCAATTGTTGCGGACAAAAGCAAGGAAAAAAAAAGATGGTACCATTATCATTAAAATACCACTATTAAAGTACCACTATCATTATTAAAGTACCATTATCATTAAAATATCATTATCAAAGTACCATTATCATTAAAATATCATTATTAAAGTACCATTATCATTAAAATATCATTATCAAAGTACCATTATCATTAAAATATCATTATCAAAGTACATTATCATTAAAATATCATTATTAAAGTACCATTATCATTACTTTATTATCATTATCATTACTTTATTACCATTACTATTACTTTATTTTTTAATGACAATTATTTCAGTTATTTAAATTTTTGTTGCTAATAGCTGCTTCAATCAAGCATCTTGTTTTATCTATAAATAATAGAGGTATAATTATAAGGAATATATTAAAAAAAAAAAAA